AACTTGAGTTGTTCAGTTCTGGCCTGCGTGCCATATGTTTGAAAACCCTGCTTTAGTTAGTCTTGGAGTAGGATTCTGAGAGAGGATCTCTGGTCCAGATGCCTCCCTCAAGGTTGTCAGTGGCATCTAAAGACCTTTTTTTTTCAGACCACAACGATTCTCAGAGTGAGTGACGGCCGTCAGGTCAAAGATGCTGCATTAGTGGCTCCTCTTACAGAGACTTAACTGAATACCGATGTTAATACTGCCGCTGAAGCTGCTGCCGCTGACAGGCCTGATGTGTCTGTCACCGACACACTATTCCGTCAATTCACAGGTCCACACACAAAGACAAAGAACTCCTTTAGCACTAAAACCGAGGGACGCTTCACTCAGGGAATATTTATATCAGTTCAAAACAAAGGCTCAGTGTGAGCTCTCTCTGACACAACTGGCCCCAAAAGGGAAGGAGGACAACAAGTTGAGATTGCCACCTAGTGGAGGGATTCTCTTCCTTCATTCCTAGTGCATGACATTCCCCTGTTCTTGGGAGATAAATCATTGATGGACTTTAATCCGACAACAGCTCGTGAGTGAGAATGAATACAACGTGCAACGTGTCTCACCTCAGACAAGTGTGTCTGATACGCATGGCAGGCAGAGCAAAGTCCCAGTCCCCTTGGTCATCATTACCTTTCAGAACAGGCAATGAAGCATGGCTGCAGTGAACACACCCAGAGGCCAAAGCCATAATGTATGTCTCAGTCTCAGGACAAAGTGTCCTCTCAGAAGTCCTCCTCTTTAATTCAGCAACTCATGCGATTCATGATAGCGTCTACATGGTAGAGTTGGAAACCTTAAAGGTTGCTTTCAATCATTTGGAACATTAATGTCATTAATAGTCATTATGTTACATGACGCATTCAGTGTATGCAGAGTATCAAAATAAATTTATATAAATGTTTTAATTTTTCTTTAAAGAAGTCGTCTTTTACATTTTTATTAAAAAAAAAAAAGTGCAGTGCCCGTAGGCAGCTGGGCTAAATTATTTACACAGATTTTCTTTTCCACATCTGAACCAAAAATGTGACAATTTCACTCTTGCAAATATATTAACATCCATGAATTCTTTTTTATATTTGCTATTATTTTACTCATTTTCACATAAGCCTCATGGGTGGACTGGAGTCAATCCCATAAACCTGGGCTACACCTCGGATAAACAGTCACTCACACTCACCTGTGGTCAACTGAGTGTCCAGTTAACTTCATCTACATTTGTTTGGACCATGGAACGAGAGACAAACCAGACACACGTGTAGACATGAAGATGCAAACACCATAAAAAGCACCGTCAGCCTTCACCGGAGATCAAACAGATGACCTTTTTGCGGTAAGGCAAGACGACAAA